TACTACTACTACTACTACTACTACTACTACTACTACTACTACTACTAGCTACTACGACTACTAGCTACTAGCTACTAGCTACTAGCTACTAACTACGACCTACGACCTACGACCTACGACGTATACGACCTACGACCTACGACCTACGACGTATACGACCTACGACCTACGACCTACTACCTGCTACCTACTACCTACTACCTACTACCTACTACCTACTACTACTACTACTACTTATACTTACTACTACTACTGCTACCTATACTTACTATTATTTACTACCACTACCACTACCACTACTACTACTACTGCTACATCTACTACTACTACTACTATTTACTACCACTACTACTACTACTACTACTACTACTACTACTACTACTACTACTAGCTACTACTACTACGACGACGACGACTACTACTACCTACTGTTACTAATACTACTGATGCTACTACTACTGCTACTGCTGCTGCTGTCCTTTCCCCATTATCTTTTTTTCGCACTGTTATTTTTAAATAGTCGTCTTTCCTTTTTCCTGCTACAGCCAGTGCATCCAACACTCTGACCACCCCACTACCAGCCTTACCACAGTTACCACAATTACTTTCCTTTTTGCAGTGACAGTGCCACAAAGATGGATGATAAGGCCCACCTTTGCTTAGCCGTGGTTGCGCCCTCCCCCGCACCCCCTCCCGTTTTTTTTAACAGTTCACATTGCCGTCCATTACCCCTACTCCTACCAGTGCCCCTATCATTCCGACCACCCCACTACGAGTCTTACCGCACTTACCACAACTACTATCGTGTTTGCGTTGATGCTGCCACAAAGGTGGATGATAAGGCCCACCTTCGCCTAGCGTAACAGCCAGAACCTTCGCTTAGTAGGAAGCGCTGTGCCCTACTACTACTATTACATACTATTACTACTCCTCCTCCTCCTCCTACTACTACTACTGCTACTGTCCTTTCCCCATTCTCCTTGTTTTCGCTGTGAATATTTTTTTGATGCTGATCCTTGTATTCTTTTGATCGCTCACCATCCCTACCAACCCGGGCCATCCTTTCAACCGGACCGAAGAACCGCTGGAGCTCGGCAGACCGAAGCTCGGCCAGACAGGACTGCACAGGCGCCATCCGGCAGGGACTGTAGGTCGAGCATCTGAAGCTGCCCATTTGTTATCTCGGCTTTATGGACCCTAACCTGTGAGTGTTTAACCCTGCTTTTGGTCCTCTTTGTATGTTGCAGGCCTCAAACACACCGCGACAGAAGATCACACAGCTCGACCGCGATGGCGATGTTCGTTTCACTCGACACGACTGGCAAACAGGTCGACTCGACGGTCGATCCTTCGTGTCTCAGGTCCGTCGCTCCCGGCGCGCCATGAGTATGGACCAGAAACCGTCCGTGACGTTGCCCAATCAGCCAGAGGAGGAGACTGGAGACGCATGGCACGCATGGCTCCCAAAGTATGTCTGATAACATTGACATGAATCTTTGCTCCGTTCGTAGCGATGCCCTTTGCTCCTAGTAGCTTCTTGCTCCTAGCAGTGCGGCCAGGAGCCCCGAGTAGCGTCCTTGCTCCGTTCGCAGCGATGCCCTTTGCTCCTAGTTGCTTCTTGCTCCTATGTTCATGAATCCTGTGACTGGAGAGAATGTTGGATTCTCTGGCGGCGTTGGGGTCCCCAATAGCCCTAAGGCCAACAGAATGAGGTTGTCACTTGTTGTTTAGGCTGGACTTTTGCACAGGAGTTGTCCTCCGGTGATGCTGACCTCCCTGAGCTGCAGCGACGAACCGCTTCCAAGCCTACAGACTACCTGCCATCACTCTCCGTGAAGCGCCGGGCTGGCAACTGGTTCAAACTCCAGCCGAAGATGCCTACGGAGCGATCAATACCACACGGATACGACGGATACGTGATACGATGTTCGGTGACAACATGACAACATGGTACGACCAGTCTTTGCCTTCTTTGTACCATTGCTTGGCAGGGGCCGGGCCTTGTTTTTTGGTGCCAGTGAAGCTGTGTTGCTTTTCATGCCCGAATCGGCGCCCCTACTCCAGGACAAACGTATGGGCAAATCAAAGACCATGAAGGCCAAGGCGAAGGCCGAGACCGTGAACAACGGGACGCCCTCGAAGACCACGCCGGAGAAGAGGATGCATGGCTTGGGTCGTGATTGACCTGCACTACAGGAACTCCTTGCGAGAAGGGATAGACAAGACAGAAAGGGCAGGAATGACACACAGTCACACTTATATCATATCTATATATACCAGGACCCTCCAAGGGGTGTCTATTTATAGCCGCTTAGCTGTTAAGAAGTGTCCATTAACCACCCCTTGAAGGTCCTGGTACACTCATATATGCATCATCTATAGACACTACGTGTCCTCACCTGGTTTTGGCGGCGGAATCTCGACCCGGCCACCCACCGGTGCGACCAAGGACCAAGACCCGGCAGTCCTCGGTGAGTGATGCGACCGCTTGCGTCCCCACCCCTCGAGCCGCTGGCGACACCCAGAAGTCGCCAGGGGCGGAAGAGTCAAGGGCGATACAGGAGATGGGTCCAGGCATTTTTGGAGGCTTGGCAGTTGATAGAGTAGCTTTTGCCAGAGGTGTTTCCTCAAAAAGTTATTTGTCCCCAAGGTTGCAGACCTGCACTAAGAGGTCAGTTCTTAGGGGAGGGGCATCCATTCAACTCTGGGGCTGATGGCAACGGGTTCCTTGAGGGCTTGGGATGCTGTTCTTTTTTTTGTGTAAGGGATCAATCCAAGGATGCCCCCCAAAGCATCCCCAAACGATGGTTGGACAGCAAACACATATAGAAAGACTTTCTTCAACCAAGCACGACTTCGCACATCCGGCATTGATGGGGTCTTACCACAAAACCAACCGGCGCCAATTGGGAACTCTCACTAAACCGTTTGGACCAAACCGACGCTTCGCCGATGGAGCCGACGTTCCAAAGGACGAATGCACTCAGAGTTCTCCGTCGAGTCCTTGCAGAGGTATGCCCTGGAAGGCCGATCGAGCGAGATGAAGGATCGGGGATGGAAAAGGTTGGAGCCGCGATATGGCTGAGATGACCATAGTTCTCTTGCAAGTGACCACAAAAGTGCCACATAACGGCTTGTTTCATGAAGATTTCCAGCTTTCTTTGGCTGTAGTGAAGCACAACATCACCTTTGCACAGGGGCGACCGATCTGTTTCTTTGGCTCTTCCTTCGGGGGCCGACGAAGATGAGTTTCTGATGTTCTGATGATGAATTTTTGAAGAGCACGGGGCCTTCAGCTGGTTCCACGGTCCCAACTGATTCCACGCCTGCGGCAGGCATGGGCCACGAGACGCTGGGCGAACGAAAGTCAGTTTCTTTTCACAGCCCACATGGAACCCCAATGCAAGATCCTTGATGTCTTTCAAGAGAGCCTGGCAATGGCATCAATGCGGCAAGCCCGGCCTTCACACTCGCCCACGTCCAGTCCTAGAGTTCGTATACACTTTGATACATGTAATACGTCATTCGGCAACTCGGTGAGGCCACCGAATTAGATAAGTCATCGCAAGTAGATACCCTACGAATCCGGGCCCTCAAATACGGTTTGGTTCGGGTCCGGACCCCTGCTATGGCAATCGAGGGTCAGAAACGCCTTACACCCCCGTGGAAGGCCCGTGCCACCGACGCCTCTTTCCGGCCATGGCCTCGTTCCTTACCCTCACTCGCTTACCTCGCTCGAGGTCCGCAGAGAACCGATGCACCGACATCGTGAGCCACCCGATGTTTGAACGCTTTATGATGCTGATCGTGGGATTGAATGTGATCGAGCTTGCGGTCAGTGTGGAGTTCGACTACAATGCATCCAATCCAACGCTCCATTCATGCTTGGCCGCCTGAATTCTTTGCACGGATTTGTGTTTGGTGTCCTTGTTTTCACCTTTTGATATTTTTTTGTATTTTTTGTGGTCCCCAATTGATAGAAACGGTTTCCACTGCATTTGGTGGTGATCTACATTTCTATCTATATTTAGAGGTCTCTACATAAGTGCCATGAGCCCAAATATGTCATAAGGGAGCTGTCCTTCTTCGCTTTGAAGGTACTAGTGGCTTTGGCTTTGTCATCCATTTTGGAAGTGTATTAGAATGACAACAGTCAGGTCATTATCGAAAATATTTTCTGTGGCATCTTTACGGTGGAAATTATCCTCAGATCCTTCACTTATAAGCGATTCCTGCATTTGCTACAAGATGGATGGTTCCTCTTTGCGCCCTGGCATCTGAAAGATTCTGAAAGCATGAAATCGCATGGAAACGAGGAAAGGAACGAGCACCGAACACTGCCATCGATCCCGTTTTCGAGGCTGAGGTGAGTGCCAACGAAAGTTTCAAAGGTTAACGGTTGACCAACGATGATCAAACCGCAAAGGCAGGCCCAGAGCCAATAATCGCCCAATGTGTTTACACCACCCCCCCCCGCGTCGGGTCCCAAGGGTTGTCGACTTGACTGCTTCGTCTCCGTCCTTCGACCGGTCGGGTGCTCCGTCTGGTTCACGGGTCCTCCGACTTGACTGCCGATCTCCGACTTTCTCGAGCCGCTCGTGTCGCTCCGCGGTGGTTTGAAGTTCCTCGACACCCGAGGACTTTTTGCTGGTGTTGTTGATGATTTGGGAGTCCTGGGTGATGCCTTTTCTGACCGCCTCTTGGCCGAGCGAGAGAGACATGGCCCACGAGGACGACTGAAAGGGTGAACGATTTGAGGCTCAATCTGAGGCCTATCAGCTCTATTGCAGAAGAATGGCATCAATATCCATGGTGATTGTTGCTCTATGAAATGGGGATCCTTTACCTCTATGATATGGGGTTTCCGGGGCTCATCTCATAGAGCAGGGCCAGCGGGGCAAACGAGCATGTGACCTGAAGCATCATTTTATAGAAGGAAAGCTGGTGATGTTGAGTAACCAAATTAAACATATAGACGGATGTTGAAATTCAATTTCATAGTGGATCTGAGGTGCCTTGTTAACTTGGTTTATGGATGTTAGAATTCCATTTTATAGTGGACTTGATTGTTATAGGGGTGGTGATTCTTCAGGTGGCAGATGACAGAACCTGATCCGCAACGTCCGTCAAGTGAAAAAGAAGTCCTGTTTGAGCTGAGCAGTTATGTGCACAATGTCATTTCATAGAAACTAAAGAAGATATGTTTGTAGATTGTTGATATACGTGAAATTCCATTTTATAGAAGGAGCGCAGTTGTTGTCAACCTACTGATGTAGATATGTCTTGAGTTGAAATCCCACATTATAGTAGCACCTGGTTTTCCATTATATAGACATTTTTTATGTTTTGATCCTTTGTAACTCATTTCATAGCCACCATTTCTCTATGAAATGCTCTGTAAAGCATCGAACCCATCAATCACCGGGGATGCATCAATTCATATCAATTCACGTGAGATCGTGTGAGCATGTTTGAGCATTTGGTCAGCTGAAACGCCTACATTAATGAGGACAGATTTTTGCATCGTAGCCTTGCTGGCCAGATGCACTCTGATTGAAATCGTTCTACCAGGCTCTTCCAAACAAACAGCCATCCCATCACATGTCAAAGTTCTGCAAACAACCCTGCTTGAACCCCCACATCAATCTTGGAATGCACTATACTTCCCAGCAACTTAAACCAACATGGCATAAAATTGTCATTTTTTGAAGGCCTCAGCCTGGCGTCTCAAGGCATTCCATTGGTTCAAAGATCGATGGCGGCCTTTTTTGGGAAGGAGTCACAAAGGGGTGTTTAGTCCCCAAGTGAGTTACAGTTGATCATGGACACCCTTATCCTCCAAGTTCGGCCCCCATCCTCCATGTGACTCCTGGTTTTTCTCCCCACAGCCCACGCCGCCGAGGCTTCTGGACCGATCCACGCGAGCTTTGAGAGCAGCGGAGCCTGGCGCATGGCACGGATCTTCCGCGTGCTACGCACCGCGCGCATGGCCCGGCTGGTACGGTTGCTGCCGGAGCCGCCGGTTCGCATTGATGTTCGCAGGGTGGCGGGTGTTTGTTTGTTTGTTTGCCCGCTTTGTTTGCGTCCTTGCTCCTAGTAGTGAGGCCAGGAGCCCCTAGTAGCATCCTTGCTCCTGTTTGTTTGTTTGTTTGTTTGTATGTGTGTGCGTATGGGACCACTCTGACATTCAAGAAGGGCATGGCGTCACGTCGCGCTTCATGGAAAGGCTTTGAGCAAATGAAGGGAACACCTGGCTTCGGTGAACTGAAGACTCGCAGTTTGCTCTCTCAAGGTTGATGATCCTCATCAAAGGGATGCTGGTGGCATGTCGTTCCGTATTTTTCACCTTGCTGTTGCTTGCCTGCAGCTGGCAATCAAGCTGGCTCAACACCATGGGGCTATGGCTGGTCACCACACATAAATGCATTACAGGGCACCCGGCGTTGTTGCGATGCGTTGTAATTAGACTTCCCTATGCCCCACAAATGGAATTGGCCCCTCTCAAGAAAGAGTAGGAGTAGCTATGCCTGCACGAATCTATACGGCTACTGCTACTTAAACGTACTCTGAAAGCAACAGTTTCGTTGGAAAGCCAATCAAAAAGGTGCCGTAACCATCGAACCGTTGTGAGTGCTCAGGCGTATATGGCAATAGTCGTGCCACCTCTACCCATGAGTCAGTTACTGACAACCGGGGCCGCAATGTAGCAATATATGTTTTGGCAATCCAACCCACATCCTCCTGCAAACCGCGTGAGGAACTGTGGTGAAGTGCACAGAGAAGAGGCATCCCCCAAAGAATCTTAGGTCCACGTTAGGTTCGGGGCACCCGCAGGGTCTCACGTTTCCGCGCTTTGGAAAAGTGTCCGGCCAGGCTCCTGCTGATCATCACGTTTGTATTCAGCATCGCTTTTCTGGAACTGGGCCGCGGAACTGATCTGGAGTCGGAATTCTTCCCCTCCATCCTGTGACTTGGAAACACAATGAAACACATCAATCCCAGTGGGGGAGGAAGGAAGACGTTTGAGCTTACCTGGCCATGGTTGTCCTGAGTCCTTTTTGAACAATTCCAGTGAGTCCCCTAGGCCTAGTTAGATTGCCTGGTTCACAGCACGTAACATGGTAGCTGACGAGCTTGGCACCTTCCCACCTTCCTCTTGCAGCGGCAGCACTTCCCTTCTCACACCTTTGGCCTCAGGTCCTCCGTGGTGACTCTGATTTTGCACTGCATCGTGCCGGATCAGGAGGTCTTTTTTCGGATTGTCGCACAAGACAATCCGGGCCTTGGGCTGTTGGTCTTGTTGTTCATCCTCTTAGGCTCTCTCACTGTCATGAGCCTTGGCTGAAAACAGTACAGGCCGTAAACGGCGGCCGTAAGAGGCCTCGGCTCTGGGATTTGGGGTTCGTGCAGGGGATGGAAAAGGAGTTAGACTCAATATGACTCATATCATATCATATCATATTATATATCATAAGATCTCATAGCATAGTTGGAGTTAGTACCGTGTAAATAGTTAGGGTGTATATCGGAATCCTCCATCTGCCCCACATGGCTGGCCGTCGTCAGTAAGACATGCCCGAGTGGCAAATGCAATCATGAATCGCGGCCTGGCAGATTTCTTTGTAGACCGAAACCTTCGGCGACTTTCCTGTGGCCAAGAGCCAAGTCTGGATAGTTTGGAAGAGATAGAGAGGCAACTAGCTAACTAGCTGATGACCTCCACGGTTTGTTCTTGGGTGCCTGTTGGCTCTCATACTTTTCCAACGATTGGGATTGTGCAAGGTAGTGACAAAGCAGCCGTGGAGCTACTCTTCAATCAAGGTCTCATTGCCAAATGGGCAGGTGAAGATGGACGAACTGTCCACTCCACTCTGCTTTACCCACACCGCCCTAGCGGCTCTAATGACTACAGGAGAGATTGAAGGAGAGTACTGATTGGTATCGGACAAGTAGAGGGCGGACTTCAAGGCAAAAAGTAGGGGAGCGGAGAAAGCAAGTATTATACCGAGTGAAGTAGGGAGCACATTAAAAGGATTCAACAGGAAAGAGCTTCATTTGCCAATCCCTTGACCAATGAATTCTTGCCATTCCGGGGCTGGCCTGGACAAGTCCAACCCACAGCCCAATTTGAAAAGGCTTTACCTCCAATGGACATAGAGACCGTCCTCCTTCCCATCACCGCTGAACTTGATGCCTAGGAACATGCTGCTTGGCGTGCTGGTCGAAGCTGCAACTGGGCGGATTTGGGGCATGTGGAGACACCTTGGAGATGCCATATGGAGATGTTTGATTGGTGACACCTGGGATTCGGATGCATACTTTGATGGGAGATGTGCCACACATGTTGGACCGTTCCGCATCCGTTCAGCATCAAGGTGAAGACGGTCTCCACCATTGAGCGGGAGCAAATGGTAGCAGACTTTGCTCGGAGGGTGGAATCTACCGGGCATCGGCGAGCGTTGAAATGGGTCATAAAAATTAAAAGACCAAACAAACCATGCACTGAAACCCGGAGTGTAGTAGTGACAGAAGCTTTGCTTGTAATTAGCTTGGTGGTTCAGACGGGTCACAGCAAAGCTCTATTCTTTGGTGGTTCCGGCTGAGCTGTGGAGATTCTGAGGTGCCATCTCTCCACAGCACACATTTTTGACCAATGCGCCAAGCTGTCTCAAGCTAGGAGAGACGATCTCAACTTCCCTCGTAGCATACCCTCTTTCAAATTATCGGTGAAAATCCACACCGTGGTCATATATCGTGTTTTTTGAAGATGTTGTCCAGGACACAGTGAGGAAGTTGCGCCCTTTGAGCTTTTGCACTTTTGCAGCCTTCACCTTGAAGGCCCTAGATACCCGATTAGGCACGATGAGCAATCTGCTACCAGCAGGTGCTTTGGCAGCTGATCCAAAGCGACAAAGAGGATCCTGATGCGACCTGACACGTGATGGGGAGTGCGAGGATGCACGTGTTTGAACATGATGTCTGGGGTGGTTTGGCTTGTGGCACGACTCGCAAGAAGGAACACAAAGGATGCAGCTAGTAACTATGCCCTTGTTACTAGTAGCTTCTTGCTACTAGTGGTAATGTCCTTGCTACTAGTAGCGATGCTCTTGTTAGTATTTGCTAAGGATGTAGTGATGTGATTCGATCTTATGAGCTTGGCCAAGTTGCCACTCTTGGGTGATGTGTGGGTGCCAGAGTGGCGGCCGGCTCACTTGGGAGCGGCCAGAAAAGTAAAAATGGATTGCACTCCATATCAATTTATGGTTTCGTGACTGCGCCTTCATACTTTCATTACCTTCCCTTAGCTTGCTAGGCCCTTTTTATTCATACATGACCTATCAAGCGCGCAGCTTGCTTTGCCAGTTGCGGGGTCACCGTTGGTCCGTTTGGCGGCCCCTACTTGCAAGTCCCGTTTGGTCGGTGAGGAAGATGACTACTGCGATCGAATGATCTCGGAGAAGGAGTTCAAGTCATTGTTGCGGAAACCGATGCTTAGGCCTTTCTAAGGGCCAGCATTGGCATGCGGAACGGACCGGGTGTTTCATGGCCGGTTTCGAAGGCAGACAGTATGGACCACATGTGCGGTACAAGTATCACGGTCGTTGAACACAAGCAGGAAGGGTGCTTTTCAGGGGGAAAACCAGGGATCGACAAAGCGTGGCCCGGCTTTCTGTGAAAAACCCACAAATGGATTGAGTGAATCGATGCAAGGCCCACGATCCAGCGCAAGGTTCCAGGTTTTGGGTTCCTTTTTCCATCCGCATGCTTGGCGGACGTTGCGGAAACACTCGAGGAAAGCGGTCAAAGCCTTGGCAAAGCTTGGGGTTGATGCATCCAGCGCAGTGGACTATGGCAAGATGCTGTTTGAGGATGATGGATCCGTGCTGTGACTGTGCAGTGGGTGACATGTGAAGGGAAGGATGGGGAGGGTGAACCTTGATGTGGGTCCCATTCATGTCCCATTATGCCTTGCCTTCCATTTGGACAAAAAAGCTGTGCTTGGACTATTTGTAACAGCTGCCCTCAGATTCGATAGTCAACCGCAAATCAATTTGTAGCATTGTTGCTGCGAAGTTGTTACATGTTATGTAACACACTGGGACCCCACACTGGGCCAAGCTTCTACTGTTGGAGGTAATTTTCTCTTTTTGACCACCGCTGGACACCGCACCACACGGTTTTTCGTACACGACTGGCGCCACAAATCAGGTGTCGTTCATGGACTTCATGCGAGCGATGTTGGCCTTGCGCGGCTCCAATAAGACCACGGTCAAAGACATGGTCGAGCTGCGGAAGTATGTGGGCGAGGAGTCCGGAGTCCCAGGACCGTCCGCGAAGGTGGGTGGTAGCGACCGTGTGGAGCACGGAAACACGGAGAAAAGGTGTGGAAAAAGATGGAAAAACCTGATCGTGAGTAGAAACCTGATCGTCCTGAGTAGAAACCGATTCTCTGGATTGTAGTAGGACAGTGGGTAGAAACCTGATCGTCCTTGGGCCATATAAGCCCAGTGGCAGCTCGGGGCCGTGCTGGTCGGAAACGGCTCCAGATGTACAATGTACAATGGACGGTGACAGTAGCGTTTCTTGGTGGGAGAAATGCACCATCATTTGTAGACATTGTAGACGCTGCGTCAGGAAGTTATATAAGAACTCATTGCGTGACTGAGGTTGCTGGTCCAAGAGAATCTCTCCTTGATTTGGGACGCTGATACAGTAGCCTTTGGTTTCTGAAAACGCCTGACGCATCACGAGGCATCATGAGGCATGAATCAACCAGGCACCCTTTGCTAGCGCAAACAAGCCCCCTTGTCCTCCGGTCTGGGCGAGGTTTGCCGATATGCGGCGCTTGTTTAGCGAGTTATGTAGCAGCTTGGCACCGCGGGACATTTGCACCACGTCGTCGCTGAAAACGCGCCCGGACCGCCTCCATTTGGTAACACAAACTGGTGGTCCCCGGGTTGCTGGACAGTCAGACACATAAAAAACAAAACTCCCTAAAACCATTTCCAAATGCCCTGCCACCTCCGAAAAGATGCCTGTTTTAGGGCCCTGGTTTTTACAAGTCTGTTTGGGATTCAAAAGAAATGGTTTCGAGCAAAGGAGAACCGGAATTCCCACACAACAACCAAACCAGGACCGCAAAAAATCGTTTTGGCATGTTTTGGCGGTCCAGGGAGCTCCTTAATTGCCACGGGTCCCTGGGAACGGAGTTAACACCGAGTCACGTGGAAAGCTTTCATGTCAAACTCTAACTGTTGTATTTTGTATTTATATGATCTTCGCTTCTAAAACTTCCATCACAAAAAGACATGGATTCTAAAGGGGCACATTTTAACAGTTTATATAACTTAGCAATAGAGCTTCTTTTGCTGTTGGGGATGCTTGGACTGCCTGCAAGCCCTGTACAAGCCCAAAACCTAGGGGCCTTTTAAGGAGACCTCACAGTTGGAATTCGCGAGAAGGAGGTTCTGGAGAACAGTGTTTTTACTATTTTGGGGTACCTTTGAAGCATGTTGAAACTGGAAGCGTCTTGGGCGCTCGAGGTTTTATTCAGAACACCATGGGCGCGATGGGAGTGGAAATCGAAGAGACCTATTGCATCTCTCATCGCCAGAGCATAGGACCTAAGAGTCCACCAACAAGTCCAGCACTACCAAGTAGTGCGTACACCAATAAGCCTGCATCCAAAGCTTCCGGCAGTTGTGCATGAATCCACATCCATGGTGGCTAAGACGATACTGCCGCATGTTGCCGTATGACGCACACTTGCCGCTCCATATGTTCTCGTTGCTTGCAGAATGGGCAAGCAGAAGATTTCGCTGGGCAAGCGGGAGGCGCAATCACCGCTATTTGCATCCTCCCAGCCTTCGGTAAGTCGTTTCGGTAAGTCGTTGGACGGTTTCATGCGGAGAGCAATGCGGCGCATTGTGGGAGATCCATTGGGGAACAAACCAGATCATAATCCTCAGATCGCTTGAAATGCGTCAGTTGATGTCAGTTGTTGCATCCAGATGGTTTTCCCCAGAGGTCTGGATAAAAGTTTTTAAATGGTGGCTCCGTCTTTTCGACCACTCAGGAGTCAGGAATGCTGACCCACAGCTCTGCCCGGAGTCAGCCTGACTTTGCTTGTTTCGCCCATTTGCCTTGAAGAAAGGCAGAAGTAACTATCTAGGATCAGGAAAACACAGCACAGAGCATGGCACCCAGTTTTGCTGGGGATGAAAATTTGCCCATAGAGTTTGTTTGCCTGTTGCAGCATCCAGAAGCAGAACATCCACAAGGAACAGGAGAAGAAACAGAAGAAGGAGAAACAACGTAAGGAGGAGAAGAAGAAAAAGAAGAAGAATAACAACAATAAATACAAGACACATAATAAGAAGAAACAGAACAAGAGTAGCAACAGCAGCGAGCTGCAACGATAACAAGGACGACAGCAGCAACTGCAACAACACCAGGCACACCTGCTCATCACGAAAGCTAGCCTTAGCTAGCTGGAGTTGCTCTTGCTTTAGCAAGTTAAGTGACGGGGTGGACGCACCTCAGAAACCTCAAATAATTGATTAAATCAATCTTATGGACCCGCCCCCCCCCCCCCCCGCGGTTCGACTCCCCCCTGCGCGCGGTGAGCGGGACCACCAAGCAGCTGCAGCACACCAAGCATCTGCAGTCTACAACCAAGCAGCTGCAGCAAACCACAAAGGAGCAGCAGCAGCAGAAGCAGCAGACCCAGAGCAGCAGCAGCAGCAGCAGACCACCCAGCGCCAGCGCCAGCAGCAGACGACCCGGCGCCAGCAGAGCACCCAGCGCAGCAGCGCCCAGCGCAGCAGCGCCCAGCGCAGCAGCGGCAGCAGCACCAGCAGCAGCAGCAGCAGCAGACCACCCAGCGGCAGCAGCAGCAGCAGGAGCAGCAGCAGCAGCATACCAACCAGCGCCGCAGCAGCAGCAGCAGAGCACCCACCGCCGCAGCAGCAGCAGCAGACGACCCGGCGCCAGCAGAGCACCCAGCGCAGCAGCGCCCATCCCTGACGACCAGACTCTCGTTCACCCCCTAGCTAGCTTTCGTTCACCCCCTCTGGCCTCAAGTTGGGCAACCACCAGAACGCAAACTACAGCCAAACAACAGCCGACGAAGCAACAGTGGCAAAACAACAATAACAACAACCACAGTGACGGCAACCGCAACAACCATGCAACAGCCAGGAAGACGACAACAACAGCTTTGGAAGCAGCGACAACGAACAACCCGTATAAAATCATACAATCACCGACAACATTTCTGTATTTAGAACCTTCGGGCATGTGTGACATGACTCGTCAAAATGCCCCCCCGTATGTTGATTGTATAATGTGTATATATATATATTTGTAAGGTCTTATGCTGCAATGCTGGGGTGCAGCTGCAGCATCCATTCACGCACATCGTTCGGACTTGTGTGGCATTTCGGCGAAATGAGCTTTCGATCTTCCAGTGCGTTCATCCAATTCGAAAGCGCCACGTGGCTGGTGGGTGAGCAACTCCCACCCTGCTAGTCAAGTGGCACATGTGACGTGGTCAACCAGCCTGTGAGTTGAGGCTGAGATACGCTGCCCTGCTGTCTTCGTGAGGAAAGTAGGACCTCCCGTGGAGTTGAGCAGTGCGACCATGAGCGACCCGGCCCAGACTTGGTAGTGGCGACCAGACCAGAGAACTGTTTGGGCTGCCATTGATCTTTTAATGAGTCAGGGAGGCATCTCATTGCCTTGAGGCTCGCTTGGCGGGGCTCGAAGAGTCGGTCATTTTCTGGTCAAACTGTTTGACACCCGCGCTGAGCACGTTTGCAGGTGGAAGTTCCGAAGCGAAGTTCGACACGTTTGCAGATGTTTTCAGCTTCACCACAGAGCTGGGTGACGAAATGGGTTGGCCTATATTCTTCCAGGACGTTAGAGTAGGAAAAAAATATACTATACACCTATGAGAGAGTTTGCCTACGTTTGCCTCACTTAGGTTGGAGAGGTGACAAACCCAAAGCTTGTTTGGACAGTGGACCTCGATCAACTCTGGACGAGCCTTGTTGGTGCTCTTCTCTAACGATGTCAAGCAAGCGAAGACACCCACCTACAGCGGAGAAATATGAATCAACCTCTGATGCGGGTTTGTCCCATTGCCCGTAACAGCCGGCCAACGACGATCATACGTTTTGGACAAGGCCTTTACTAACTACTATCATCCACTGTTTCTGGTCATGGGATATACACAACTATATATATCTATCAGGTGTTTGCCACTGGGCTTGAGGGATTCTGCAGGCCTCGCAGGAAACTGTTTCTCAAACGTCCGATTTGCAACTCAACCCTCCACAACTGGTTGACTCTACTAGTTGGAGGCCATTGCTAGCAGGTTGGGGGCCATCGCTAGTAGCTTGGAGGCCATCACTAGTAGCTTGGAGGCCATGGCTGCTAGGTTTATCTATAGATTGGTATGAATTGCCATTTGCTTACATCACCTTGGGACCGCTTGCAGCCGCAGCTCCTGCGCGCACGAAATTGGTCGAGACTTGCGCCAACGGTCGACTGACTGCAAAGACCCTCTTGAGAATTACAGTAACTTTCCTGGACTTAGTCACTCATTGCATCTCATTGCCAACCTACTTGGGGGTCGGACAGCAGCGCCATCTGGCGCCGGCTCGGAGGTTTTCACAGTGAGCCGCTCACTCCAAGCAGCAAAGTCATTTATTCAAAATGAGCCCCGAAGACAAAGTCAAAGTAATAGGAATACGTTGGGGGTGTCCGTTCTTATTTGTAACAGTCGTTCTATTTTTGAACAAGGCCTTTACAAAACCATCATCCATTGTTGCAGGGAATGGGGTAGACCCAAGTAATACGAGCACTACTTGGCAGAGCAGGGTTTGAGGCTTTGAAAGGCTTGGATTGACCTCCAGTTGGCGTTCTGTTCAACGTTCTGGAGATGTGCTTTCCGCATCTCCCGTGGAAAAGTTGAGCTTCAGAGTCCTTCGTTCTCTTTGCCAGGTCTTAGTCATAGTGTCGGGGCTAAATCCCAGCTCAGGCCGGTGAGCGACGGACTATCTCCATTGTTCTGCAGTGTCGGCATTTGCAACTCCAGGCTCAGACCCGAAGTCTGAGGCCCTTGCTTGCGATTGACTGCACTGTTCGGCTGGTTGATAGCAATTCCGCATTGATCTTTGTTCACCCCTTTGACAACGTAGCCTTCACCTGATTGCTACCAGGATGAAATTCTGAGCCAACTGGGAGAAGGTCGAACTCCCCAATTCCCCCCCCGAATTACCACCAGGTCCATTTGATCCGTTTTTCACCTTGAAAAGGCCCACCTTTTGACCAGGAACCGAAACGCCCAGGACCAGCCGCGCCTTGCGACTGGTGGAGGAGCATTCACCCAAGGATGCCCTTGCAGCTGTGGCCTTGGCGAGGAAATGCCGACAGAGAACGTTGAGCGGTCAGGTTTTTACAGTGGTGCCACTGGTGGAAGAGGTGGACGGTGAGAGGAGGTTGCCCCAAGGGAGCCAAGGCCGAGTGGCGGGTGCCCGCCCGCAAGACCACGAATCACAGCAACGAGCACGTGTATCAGCCCTCTGATTTGGACAACGGCACCTAGGAAACCGTGCCACTATCTATGTCTAACAACTAATAACAACTACTGCGAAAAAGGTAGCAGCGGCACCCGAAGTCCGCAAACACGAAAACAAGAGGGCGCACTGAAGCGCCGCGGCCGCGCCTTTTGCAAGGCAACTGCCCTCCCAGTCTTGAGAGGGAACGACGGTAAGTGAAGGTCGAAAACAGTTCGAACTGCCGAAACACAAGTGCACAGCGTGAACTTTACATGGGGGAGAGTCCTTCGTCATCACCCCAGTTCCGCTGTTCGAACCGGTCCAGCCATTGGTAGACCAAGGTCCGCACAGATGAGCCTGACCGATCATCGACAAGGTCAGGTGGAATCACCCTCAAACTACAAAGGCGGCAGAAATCTACTCGCCGCTGCAGGTTTTCATCTCTTCCGGCCAGGCTTGAACAGTTCAAGGTCGTGTGCCATCTGGCGCCATGCCGGCTGATGATCATGCCATTGTAGAAGGGGCATTCATTTCCATGCTCATCCATCTGCCTCAGGGCGATCTTCAGGATCTGGGAGGCTTCCTGTGCAAGGGTCTCAGCAGCATTCTGGTTTCTCAGAACCAGATTCATCGCTGTCGTGGCTTCGACAGCAGCAAGGCGGGACTCCTCGGCTTTGGAACTCCAGCGCAGGACTTCCTGCTTCAGGCTTTTGACTTCTTCTCTAAGGCGAGCTGGGATGATCGCTTCATCCTTTTGGACTGCAGCCTCAGTGACCTGGGGTGGTACTCGGTGGTGTGCATCATGGCTCCATCGACCAACCATGAAGGCTGTGCTCAAAAAAAGTAGAAGGAGGGTGCACAAAACAGTTCCAAACCAATCCATTCCAGCTTCAGGTTCCACATTGGCCGAATCGGCCGTGACCAGCTGCGGGGCCATGAACAAAAGCAAAAACCAAAACATGAAATTCGTCTTACGACCGCGGTAGGACTCGAGCGGGCGGCTTCCGACATGGCTCGGACTGTCGGAGACATACTCAAGCTTCCGGTCGGTCCTGGCAAACATGACATTCACAGGAACCTTGGAATTCCGAAAAATCTCTTCATTCCAAAACACCTGCTCATCGACATTCACGTCATTCTCCGCAGGATTCTCGTCGATGGGCTGCTGGTGCTCCTCGTGGAGGTTGGGTTCCTCATTGATCACATGTGGTGGTACCACATGGATGCTTTCGGGTTCCTCATTGATCACATGTGGTGGTACCACATGGATGCTTTCAGGTTCCTCATTGATCACATGTGGTGGTACCACATGGATGCTTTCCGCAAGACTCTGTTGGAGCTCAGCTTTTGTCTTCTTCTTGGCAGCTTTGTATGAGGGGTCCCAAACAAGCTTCAAACGACCGTGACGTAGCCGTTGTGCAAGAAGTGCTCTGGCCGACTCTTTTGTCAAACCGTCAGCCAGTTGGCGCTCCGATGACATCCACCTCAAAGAACCGCCCAGTGAAGACAGGCGATCCTTCATCACACGGATCTCAAGCGAAACTCGCTTGTCAACCACAGAGCTTCCGACTCCTTCTCGGTGATAGGAGTCGTAAAGAGCTTTGGCGTCCGTGATCATGGTGGGCGACAACAAGGATGGAGCGTCCAAGAGCTCTTGGAGTCGCTGGCGAGGGTCAACCAACAAGCTCCAGTAGATGCTGGCATGCTCCAAGGCATCGCAAGCTTGACCGCCGCTTTGTGCTTCGGCGCCCAAGGAAGAGCGTGCAACTCTTGGCGTTTTCAAACTGCGCCAATCTAACACGTGGTAGGCTCCTTCGGGACCATTGGCCTGAAGCAAAGCTTTGTTGACCATCAGGATCACATAGCCAGCTTGTGAGGCTCCGTCACTGCGGGTGGCAAAGGCAGCATCAAAAAAACATACCAAGCAAAGTTCTGAAACTTCGCCCAGGTGGCTGTACTGTAGGCCAACATCAGCATTTTCTTTTGCAAAACGCAGCAGGCGATTTGTGTCGGCCACTGTCTGAAGCGTGGCCTTGGTGACATGACCGCTCAGGATCGAGGTGCTGCTCTGCAAGTGAGGACTGCTTTGAACTGCGGGCCATTGAAGTGAACCAAGAAGTCCTCTCAGCTGTGTCAACTCACGCTGATTGAGCGCATCGGTGAGGCTGCGCTTCTTGTCGTAGGTGATCGGTTTCACCTTTCCCATGTAGCTGGTCTGGTTGAGGAGGAGACCATCATCCTTGACTTGAATGTCACAACCACAATAGGTCAAAGGCTTTCCATCATCACCAGTTTTCCATTCACGGAAGTTGAAGGTGCTCTTCAGCTTGGTGATGGTGTCGTTGTAGCACTGGGAGGATGGCGAACCGCAACCAAGCATGTCATCGACGTGCATGATGACCATACCACATAGGCCATGAGGTCCAAGCAGGTTGGAGTGCTCAGCTGTGGTGTCATACTCAGGGTTGAGGTCACCTTCATAGATCAAGAAGCAGCAAGGGTCTTGAGGATGCTGTCGGAGGCCCATAGCGCTCAGCTTCTCAACTGCAGCCATGAACCAAGATCTCGGGGCATCGATCTGGCCGTAGCAGGGCTTGAGAAGCAACATACGGGTGTCAGCTGTAGCTCCAAGCAACTGCAAACACTCTTGAGGAAGCTGCACCCACAACTTGCGTGTCTGAGGTCGACCCTGCAGGAAGGCGGTTGCTATGTCTGAAGTCCAGATTGGCCACTGCATGGTGGAGGCCAAACTCAACAACATGGATCTCGACAGCCTCGTGGTTGTGGGCGATGAGGTTGGAACAGTTCCTTCCCAAGCGTCTGGGTCCATGAAGCCTCTGACAATGAGCCTGGCTTTGGCACGGGGGCTGCCATCAGGATTCTTTGACCACTTCAGCAGCATGCGACTGGTCAGCGTCCGACTGGGCTCAGCTTCTCTGGTGGTCTCGAACTGCCAGACGTGGTTGTCAAAGAAGGATTGCAACTCTTTGACCTTTGCAGCTTTGAAGGCTGCTCGCTCATCAGGAGTCATGTGGCGCTCCGAGAGGTTGTTCTTGTTCTTGTCTTTCTTGAAGCTTTTGGCGTGCCGGAGTTTGGTCTCCTTGCCAAGCTGTCGTGCTCCTTGAAGTGGGGCCTTAGCGAACATGGCCATCTCTCGACGAAGGTCGCCTTTGATCTGGAAGATCGTGACTCCAGTCCATGAGCGATCCAAGGGAGTGGAAGCCGTGTAGCCATCGTCGGTCTGTTGGATGCTTTTGCCGTTGTTGTCATACATAATGGTCACCCGAACCAGATCAAGCTGATCTGAGGTGAAGGGGCTGTCTTTTGGCAATTGGTGTAGGCACATCTTGGATCGTCGAGGGATCACATGGTGTCTGATCAAACATCCGGCTTTGACTTCCCAGAAGTCGCGGTCTCTCTTGTCGAGCTGGAAGTAGCCATTCTCATAGGTCCAACCTTTTGGCAGGCAGTTGGCTTCAATGCCGGAGACTTGGAAGGCATGATTCAGCAAGGCGTGATCAGGTGCCTTCTGACTTGCATAGAGAGCAGGATCATCCGAAGCAGCTGGAGCTGCCGATACTTGGGCTGGCGCTCCTGCGGCTGCCGCTGTTGCTTGTGTGTTGTGCTCTGCACTGTTGTGTTCTGCTTCTGGTGTTGTTGTTTGTGACGTCGTGTTGTATGGCTGTGGTGACCCAATGCGCTGTCTTCGCAGGGGGCCAAAACTAAGTGTCTCCTGTCTGTTGAAGCGAACTCGTCGTTGTTGAAAGGTTTCAGCATCGACTGGTTCATACAATGCTGCAGTGTCAGGGTCCAGTGAAGGCCCTGACATTGATGCTTGAGGTGCTGTTGCAATAGCCGGTGGTGATGCAGCATGTGGTGTGGGTGCTGCAGATGGTATGGTTGGCTCTTCGCTGGGTTCGACCACAGTAGGGGCCCGTGAGCGGGACCTAGTGGTGGCTGGTGAACCTGGTACAGTGATCTCGGCTGGGGCCATGGGCAGCAACATGTTTGGTTCTGCCATCACTGGTGTTGGTGGTGCTCTGGGAGACGTCGGTGCAAAGCTGGAATGAGCAGGTGAGGTAGGCTCATATTCATCATCGGGCACGATGATCTGTGGTGGTGCTTCTGCAGTCGGCACGGGTGGCTCCAGGCGAAAGCGATGCCTGGGAGGCTCATCATCATCTTCTTCCAGCAGAGGACCATCAGGGTCAGTGTGTTGTTCATCTTCCTCGACATCATCCAGCTGTTGGCGGTTCACCCGTCTCAAGTCGTAGAATCTAGTGACTCCACGGGATTTCAGCTGTCTCACTTTGTTGAGGGCTGATTGCAGGTCTTCGAGCACGTGCTGAGGTCCGAGGATGTCTGCACGGACATGGTGAGGCGCAGCACGAATCAACTGTGTTTTATAGGCGAGCCAGTAGGTCTTGACCTTTGGAGCTGCAGTATCAGCTTCAGCATCTTCTTCACGAAGAACCACGTGGGCAGGACCAAGCCATCTGATCTTGTTCAGGGCTCCTTGGCGAGCATCACGCCAAAACCATACTCTTTCTCCCAACTGGAAAACTCGATTCTGGCCCTGGTACTTGCGACTGAGAGCTCGTCGCAGCTTGGAGTCAGCATCAGCAGATGCCAGTGCCATCTTTGCAGCAGTTCGCCGCTCAAGGTTCTCCTCAAATGAGCTGTTGTTGCCAGCAAGTTGAGCTGCATTGAGGTTGGAGTCCATGAGGTGGGACAGCTCAGGTTGGAAGCCAAGAACCCATTGACTGGGCGAGAAGCCAGCAACTGCAGGTGTGGCGTTCTGCTGTGGGATCACATAGCAAAGTGCTTCCTTGATGCCAGCAGCGTCGTTGAGCTTGCGGTCATCCATGTAGACCTCACAGGCACGGCGCAGCACTGCATGACGGCGCTCAACCAACGAAAGGCGCTCATGAGCTTCTCCTGGTGCTACTTGATGGTCAATGCCAAGTGAGCTTGTCCAAGATTCAAACGGTGCACCAAGCCAAGGTCGGCCTTCATCGGAGATCAGCTTCTTGGGAGGGCCAAAATGGCGAACCCACATCTTTTCCAGAGCGGTGATGTAGGACTTGGAGGTCTCCTCATGAAGCAGGTAGGCTGCCATGAACTTGGTGCCAACATCAACTATGCTCAGCACTGCAAACTTGCGGTCTGCTGGCTTGAGGTAGAAAACGTCAGCCTGAATCACTTCGTTGAAGGTCTTGGGCTGTGGCATGGATGATGGAGCAACCTGGTTGGGCTTCTTGTGCTTCAGACATGCCACACACTTGTACTCCTTGGCAGCGGCGATCACAGTGGGATGAGCTCCTCTGGCGGTCAACAGATCAGCCAGAGCATCAGGTGCCGGATGGCCAAGGTTTCGGTGTAGCCGTTGCACCGTTCGAAGAGCATCTTGTCGGTGTTCAGACTTGAGCTTGAGGAGGTGTCCGGTCTCTTTCTTGCCAGTTTCATCGACCACATAGGCGGTGTCCCACAGTTGAGCGGTCTCAGGACGAGCCAAGGCAGCAGCCAGTGTCGCTGCAAAGCCAGGTTGGTAGTCTTCCAAGTAGGTGGTCCGGCGGCCATAGCCAGGAGCAGAACCTTCCAAGGGGCAGTGGTAGTGGTCATGGTCACACTTCAGCTGGAAGGCCTCTAAGACAGCCTGCTTTGTGGTCAACAGGCGAGTGCTCTTTTGGACAGGTCGCCAGATGCCGTCGGTGTCCATGCACATTGCTCCATAGCGGCATTGGTCGAAGTCGGCATAGTAACCAGGAAGATCTCGGAGAGCCATCGTGTTCCAGCTCAAGGCATGTCGGGGCTGCTCCAAGTGGGCATGCCGTGCATTGGTCACCTGTCGTAGGTAGATGCGCTTGGCAAAGCAGAGATGGCGACGATGGTGGTGCTCACGTCGAGCCTTCAAGGCTTCTTGCTGTGCAGGGGTGCGACAAGCCAAGGTTTGCATTCTTGACCACAGGCGGCATTCTGGTGCCACCAGCACTTCATCAGGTTCTTCTTCATCAAGTCGTTGGAGTAGCTGGTGTTGATGGCTGATGAGGTTGAAGTCCCAGCCATTGTCCAAAGAAAATCTTTCCACCTTCATGCCAAGCTCCTCTGCGATGTGGCCAGTGCGAGCTTTGCCACAATAGATTTCCCAGAGAACTCGTCGATGGTCGGGAGGATTGTGAAGCTCCTGAGTGATATAGGCTTCGGTGGAGTTTGAGGTAGTGACCAACTGAGTCTCCATGGTTCGAAGGGCATGTCGATGAAGGCGAGTGGATTGCAATTCGCCACCTGCCAGAGCCACATCTTCAGCCTGAAACACATGTTCGAGCTTGTTAAAGTCCTCGAAGTGGAGATGGCTGCCAGGTGTTTCCTCAACAATGCGAAGGCTGAATAGGGTTTTCGTGGGATCAGGTACTTCCTCCATGCCAGTGGTGAGGCTCAACAAGTACTCGCCATGGCGGCCCACAAGCACTGAGGTCCAAGGCGATTGCCCAAAGCGAATGCGCTTCTGGCTGAAGTCGATGCCCATGTGCAGAGCCTCAATCACAGGTCGGCCCATCAACATTGGCGTGTTGCCAGGAACCAGGTAGCATTGGATCGCGCCGAACTGGCCATCGATCATCACCGGGAGATCCACTGTCCATGAAGCTCGTGAGGATGCATCGCCACCAAAATGGAACTGGCGGTCACATCGAGCAAAGCGGATGGTGTTGATGGGGTAGTTCATGGAGTGCAAGTGGCTCAAATAGCGGCCGAATGGACCATATCCGCACAGGAAGGCAGATGCACCTGGGTCAAGCATGGTGGCATCCGGTCGGTCGGTGCCCATCTCATCCTGGAACAGGACCAAGGCGGTCTCATTCTGCAAGGCCATACCCTCAGTGGGTGCAGGTCTCTTGTTGGACGATGAGGGTGATTTCGCACCTTGTGGACATTGCGCTGCCCAATGACCTGGTTGGCCACAACGAAGGCATGTAGTTGCCTTTGCACGACCTTTTGGATCAGCCTTTCCACCTGAGGAGGGTGGATAGCGCACCACATTCTTTCCTTTTCCTTTGCTTTTGCTCTTGCCCTTTCCTTTGTTCTTGCCGGCGCCCTTCGAAGGTGAAGAGGATCCAGAGGCGGGCGAAGCGTTCTGGCCATCAGTGAGGGCGACGATCGGCAGGTAGCCACGAGCCAACTTGAGCTGCTGGAATCTTTGCCGGGCATCCAAGTAGGTGGCATAGGCGTGGTCATACTCTTCGGCCAACTCTTGAGGATCTTCGGACAGGTCATGGTGTTCTCCAGGTTCATCCTCTTCGCCGTAGTAGATGGCGTCATAGTCAAAGTCAGCCTCATCGTCAGGGGCAGTGTCATCATACCAGTCGTCGGCCTCATAGTAGGCGTCTTCTGTCCAGGGTTGCTCGGACCAGTAGGCATCTTCTTCATCGAATGCGGCGTAGCCGCGGCCCTTCCAGCGGTTGAACTTTCGATCACGTTCAGCATTCCAGCCGCCTGCTTTGTAGTCCTGACCGAACAGCAGGTTCAGGGCTTCGATGACAGGATTCTTTTCCAACGTAGGAGCCTTCAGCGTCACCATTTGGCGTTGCTCCTTTGACAAAGCAGCACGTCGGAGTAGATGCCATCCTTGAACCTGGACTGGAAGAGTCACATTGTGGGCAGTCAAACGACGATAGGCGGTGTCATGGTCGGTGACGAAGGACAGGAGGCTTTGCTGTGGCTTCCTTTGCAACAAGTTGAAGTACTCCTCAAAGTCATTCGGAAGGAGCACACGATCGTCATACTCGAAGTTCTTGTCGAGCTTGGTGATGATCTTGCTGAAGCCATCCTCTTTCTCAGCCTCTTCAATTGAGAAGTCCTCGAACAACCGCCACGTCACACCCTGAAAACTTCCCAGGATGTTCAGGACGGACTCGGCTGAGCGCTTGCTGATCTTCATCTTGTGGTGGTAGAGCATCAGCCTCTTTCTGTACTCTTTGTAGTCCTGGGGTTGTCCACTGAACAGTGGAACGAAGGAGTCGCGCAGGTTGAGGTAGTCACCATCCTTGGAACCTTCTGCAGCCGATGTCGTTGGTGGCATTCTCAAACAAGTAGCCAAGACCGAAAGGGCTCTTCAACGAGGAAACAAAAGAGCTCGGCCAAGGGTTCGTGACAAAGGACTTATGCAGAACCTCGTTCTTCTTCGCGCAAGGGACTCGGAGCCCCCCGGAGGAGGCTCCGCTACCAATGCGAAAAAGGTAGCAGCGGCGCCCGAAGTCCGCAAACACGAAAACAAGAGGGCGCACTGAAGCGCCGCGGCCGCGCCTTTTGCAAGGCAACTGCCCTCCCAGTCTTGAGAGGGAACGACGGTAAGTGAAGGTCGAAAACAGTTCGAACTGCCGAAACACAAGTGCACAGCGTGAACTTTACAACTACTATTTTTTGACTCAAAAATGCTCTGGCACATGGGAGGCTCTCCACTTCCCCCTCAGTCCTCGGACCGCAAGGCCCGAGCTCTCGTCAGGAGCGCGCTGGACTTTCACGCTCCCGTCGCCCGATCGCTGGGCTACGATCTTCCGGTGGATCCCAATGCCGCGGCGTGGCGGCGATCGTTTCGGGGGGGGGGGTCGATGTAAAAATCCGTTAGAATAGACTAGTTGGCATGAATTTGGATAGCAGAGATGCTCAGAGGTCAAGGGAGATCTACCTGTTTTTTCTTGTTCCAGGGTGGTGTTATTGATCTTTATGGGTGTTCTGAATGCCTTGTGTTAAATTGTGTTGTGTCAGCGTGTTTTTGGTGATGCCCTGCACAACATAAGTGTGAGAGGGGGAGATAGGGCGAGTCCACAAAGGAGCCTGAAGGACATTGATATGTGTTCTTTTGTTAAATATACCTGTATTTTAATGTCTTTATGTCTACTTATTGGCATGCAAACGAACTTTGCACAGAGAACATTTGTCTATAGCCTATATATGTCTATAGTATGTCTATATAGTCCACGATACATGATGCTTTGGAAGGGATATGCTGCGCAGCCAATGGCAACTAAAATTCTTGACTGCCTCAGGTGGGCTTACTCCCAATCCCTCATTGCGAAACACTGCCTGCAACACTGGAGCATTTTGGGCTACTGCTCAGGAGCCTCGGAGAAACAAAGATGTGTCCATGGGCAAAGATGCTGCCAAAGAAGCAAGCTTTGGGTCACTTCCACATTTAAGCAATGCATCCACGTCAGAGCTTTATGGCGCTAATTTGCTAATCAGCTAATCGGGGTACCACGAAATCCGCAAATCAATCAGCTGCCAGTTGGCTGCCAGTTGGATTCAAAACTCGTCGGCAGCTTTGGTGGTGAGCCAAACCGAGGTACCCCTCAGAGTATCGTTTGGTGCTGGATTGGTTTGACCGACAGCGGCTTGGCCCAGAGTATCGGCGGCCATGTTTGGGGTATGACCTGCAGCACAGTGAGTAGGCTTTGCTCACTGCTTTGCTCACGTTTTGGATAGCCAGGGCTTTTTTGAGCTGGCCCAAGAAATCGATAAAACTGTATCATTCGATCTTTGCAACATGTGTATGCATTGCACGGTGTGTTTGGTTCATTTGCTTTCCATGCTGTGTATATTTTCTTGTGTTGGGAGCCACTATGGGTTATACATGGTACCAATCATAAGACCGATTCCGGAATCGGCCTTGGGTAGCCTGGCCTTGAGGAACTCTTGATCTCCCGCAGCATATATCAGATATGATCCCAGACGCGACCCATGGGACTGCCATATATGCGGATCAGTTGGGGTGGTGCCAGGGGGGTCAATGTAGGCATATATTCCATACATGGAGTGTATGGGGATTATATAAAGATTGTAAAGGTAAGACGGGCCACATTTCAGGTAGAGGGTGCTGGCACAAAAACCATCGCACGTGCGTACACGTGTGTAAAAACGCGAGGTCGAGCGCGCATGAGGTTGTGGTACTTCCAATACCCCGATTGCAGTTGTTGGTGTTCCATCCATGAAGCAACAATCACGCTCAACACCAATGCAGGATCAACATGACGCTCTCCAAGAATGGCCACAAGCAGCTTTTTCAACCCAAAGGGTGAGATCGCACTGGATCCACGGACCCCTCCGCGGACCCCTCAGCTCTCCCAGGTTTGGCTTTCTGGATCGAATCTTGACGCATGGCATCCGAGCCTCTCGGCACACGTCGCTGCTGAAAGCTGAACACCCAGATGTCCAAAGAATCGTGACCATGGGAAGATCTGAGGAAAGATCCAAAACCTGTCCTGCACGGAAACATGTCTTGCCTGTTAGTTTTTGTATACAGTTAGTATGCATGTAGCCCTCAACATAGCCCCATCAATTGGCTCAACCAGAGCTTCCCAGACATCGCATCGCTCAACCTGGAGTGGTGGGGGTGGGGCCTGGTGAAATCCATCCACATCACATCACTTGGCAACCACATCAGTGACTTCTCCAGGGCTCCGAGTCCAGGGTGCGGGGAACACCGTCACGGGTAGCTACAGCCTACAGCGAACATCAAATCACCTCCCGATGCCCACCTTTGAATCAAGGTGGTGAAGGTCGCTTTGCATCAAAATCGCGGCTTCCAAGCCTTGGGCTCAGGTTACAAGGCGCCTTGGCGTTCGTTTTGGCGCAAAACGTGGGACATCAGTGCGATGTTTTGGACGAGGACCATCATCCATGCCAATCCACAGAAAACTGGTGTAGTTGCAGAGATGTTGCACGTTCCTTCTTTGTTCCTTGACCTTTGCATGACTTTTTTCCTCCGTTCGCCTTTGCCAGGTGAAGAGCCGCATGAAGTCGCCACAGAGCTTGATGAAGAAGTTGCTTCAAGGTGCTTGGGATGGTGCTGAACTACAGAACAGCACTAAACGTCCCAAAGTTCGGAAAGGGATGGAACCCATTTGTGGGAGGGATCGATGCTTCCTCAATGATCCTCTCATCGGATGTTCTCTTTGCATTTGTTTGCATGATATCTTTATATTCTTAACGCCGGGGCGTTGGTTTTCCGCAACAAGCTGAAGGTGACAAGAGTTGGGGGCCTTTCTTTTCGAAGGGCAGGCTGGCTTGATACAGAATGTCTCTTCAACACAGGCGTCCTTTCAAAAGGAGGCGGATAGAACCAAAGTTCGTGGTCTCGTTCCGGCTTGGAGAGAGGTGGCCAGGTATGGGGTGCCTTCATCACGGTGTTCCCGTTTTAGACCATTTATTTCTGTGGTTATGAAATGGGGTGCCCAGCACGTCAGGCTTTTCCGATCCTTGAGCCAAATCAACCAGTAACACCGAGTTGGTGTATGGACCCTCGTAGCGCTTGGCTTTGACCGAAATGGGTCAATGGAAGCATGGTACACTTTTCGATTTGTGCACTCTGTACTTCATGAATCACACTCCCCCTGGCTTGGTCCAAGCCATCACGGTCGTGGTCCAAGCTGTTCAAAACTTCCATCCGACTCGCTTGAGTCGTCACGAACCCTTGAGGTTCCGGAAAAACCGCGTCGCGGCTCCCAAGGGTCATTTGACCTGGGCCTCACTGGCATCTGCGTGGACACACCCATCCATGTTGGTGTCTCCTGATCCGAGCCTCCAGCTGGTGGTAGTGCATGATCAGGTCCTCTATAGATCATAGCGAAGCCTCCACCTTGCTGGTGTGTAGAAGCTCTGCTTCCACTCTGCCATTTGACTGGCTATCATCACCCGAGGTCATCGTGTGAACCATCTCCCGAGCCTGAACCCACCTGGCCACTGCCTTCGTGAGGAATGACTTCCCCCTGTCCGAGTGCAGCCGACATGGCCGCACCCCCAACATCCTGTAGTGAGCATGGACCTTGGAGAGCGCCTGCACGATGTCCTCCACCGCTCTGGATTGCATTGGCTCTGCAATCGTGAGGTTCTGCAGAGGAACCTCTTCTTGAGCCCGCTCCAGCGCAGCCTTCAAATTGAGCTCAGCCACCTGTTCCTCCGTAGCCAGCTCCACTTCCTCTTTCTCTTCCTCAATCTCCACCACATCTTTGACCTCCGCCTCATGGTCCAGTGGTTCCTCTGGTGCCCCAGCCAGATCCTTCACAATCGGCGCCGGGATCGTCGCCACCATCACATACTTACACCACTGGTTCAACCCAAGATCTCGCCCTGTTCAAAAGGACCCATGATATCCACCGCCATCACGAAAGCTGACGAGGCGTTTCTTGATCGCCGATGTGGGCTGGAGAAACCCATCGCTTCCACACAATCCCGACAGTCTCTTCTGTAAGGAACGTGTTCTTGATTGATATGCCTTTTCCACTCATCCACATCCATCTTGGCCAGACCAACATGAGCTCTCCCCCCAAACCTGAGGTTCAAGGCTAACCCAATAGCCTTCACCAGACCATCGGACCATCGTGCCCACGAACGAGAAGCTTTCATTCTCTCCTGCAACCCTCCCTCCACCGGGTCCGCTGATCCTCCTCCCCTGAGCCCATCCAGGTCTTCCAGGTGACGAAGGTTGGTAAGCAGACTCGTAGGTTTCCGCCTGGAGTGCCCCATTCTCCCCTGATCGAAGCTCACCAAGCTCATTCCATACTCGTCAATCATCCTCCTCAACACGGGCCACTCAAAGAAGGATGGATGCTCATGTCCGGCCTCAGTTCCTTCTCCCATGTAGCTGGCAGGATCCTGCGGAGATTCCAGAAGAAATGCCACCGGCTCAGGTCCTTCACGATGCTCCTCCGCAAGATGCCATAGTCCCACCTGTTTCGCCACCAGTGCGGAATCCCCTCGCACCTGCTCGCGCTCCCGGGCAGTCAGCCCCTCCAATCCCCAACGATCAGAGCCGCGGCCTCTCACCCTCCTTGGTCCTGGGGGCCCCTTGCACCTCAATCTGCTTGCGGTACGGCAGGGCGGACCTCCAACAATCCCCTTCACCTTCCCGGATCGGGCCAGCGAGCACACATAGCTCCAAACGTTCACATTGTGCATGTTGAAGCCATCCCCCAACTCCAGATCCAGGAAAATCCAATCCATATCATCCGGCAAAGTGCCCTTCCACCTCCCTGTATCCGCTCCAGAGAAAAGATGGATCACTAAGCCCCGACTTCGTTGGTGTCGACGCCTTTGACGTCTATTCCAAGGCAGCAGCTCTGGGTTCGGCTCGTTTGAGAACCCAACCATCATCTCCAGCACGTCCTCCGGCACGTCCGGCATGATGCTGCGCCACCAATTCCAATCCTCTTGGGACAACTTCTTCTGAGTCTTCTGGTTCTCCTCGAACTCTGCCAACATCACCATGGCATCCTTCCGGTTCATGACAGGGCACCCCGACCTCAACCAACACTTCACAGCTCCCAGCTGCTGGCGCATGTCCCGTCCAGTGAATGGCATACCCATTCTCCACAAGCAGACTCAGTGGCAAGATCGGCTCCACTGGCTCCAGCGACAAGAGAGTGTCAAAGTCCGGGTGCCTGTACAAGGTCGTACAGCCATGTGCAAGTTCCACCGTGATGGGCTGTAACCTCCCTCGTTCCTCAGGTCGTGCCATTCTCAATGGGTGGGTAGCTCCACCGTCCAGTAGTGCAAGCTCCTGCCCCTCTTCACTCCCTGCCACATTGATCTGCTTCAGTCTGAACGTTTTCATGCTTCGGAGAGACTTCAGAAGGGACGTGGCCTCGGTGATTAGCTCTGATGCAGGATCACCATTCTTGACCGGGTCAACTCCACCATCCCGTCCTTTTTCTCCACCACTTGGTGCCGGCCTGGTAGACATGGACATAGCACTCGTCGATGAAGTAGTTCCTGGCTTTCCTGTGTCCCCTGGGCCAGTCTCTTCCTTCTCCACCGATGCCTTTCCACTCCCCTTCAACTTGGCCGTCTTCCTTCCATCCTTCCCAGGTCGTTCTCGACCGTATGCACAATCCTTCGCAAAGTGGTTCTCCCCGGAGCAATGGAAACACCTGTCCGACTTGTTGATGCCCTCCCAGGAGTGGGCGAATGTGCAGGACTCACCCCGCTTGCACCCAGCCGTAGTCCCCCAGTAGCGGCATGCAGATTTCGTTTTTGGCTGCCCATCTCCACCGCCAACTCCACCCGCCAAGGCCTTGATAGTCGGCTGAGCTCCTGCCACCGGTTGGAGACCTGCCCCTGAACTGGTAGTCTTGGAAGACGACAGATGCGGCATAGTCAACGCCAAATCTTCCGCCTCCGCTTGTAGGAACTCTGCAAACTCCTTGGTGGTGATCAGCGTAGGCCTCCGATCAACCTCAAGTTCCTGTCGAGCCGCCGCAATTCTGAATCCCACTTGGCTTCCTCCATGCTTCGTAAGGTTCTCCACAACCTTGGACAAGGCCTGAATCAAGACCATCGAGTCCGGGATGCCCACATGCAGTTCTTCCGCTCGACAAATCCAACTGCGCCAAGTTCGTATAGCGCCCAGTATGTCCTGGATGGAGCTGCCGCACTTCACCTCCGTCAGCCTGCGCAACAAGTTGCCCCTCTCTGCATTCCCACCAGGTTGGTAGATGGCCGGTGAAGAGCTTGTACAAGATCGCCTGAGTAGCCAAGTCCCATCGCCTGGCCTCTTGGGTCATTCAACAGCTGTCGAATTTCTTGTTGTCCTGGGTGACCACTCGATGCAGCCACCACAGGAGGGCCTCCCTGGCCAGATCCAGCCCCAGCAGCTACGCCCAGCCGCTTCACCTCAGCCGCTCTCACAGGCACTGATTGCGCTCTCGCCGCCTTGGCCTTCAGCTCCTCCTCAATCAAAGCATCCAGCCGGCGATCTGCCGCTCCGATCTCCACCTGAGGCTCCACGGTCTCTTTCCTCTCTCTCGACTGCTGCTGGCGCCGTCGCCGCTGTTCCATGGGGACCAGCACTCTTCCGCCCACAAAGCGGTAAGAGGTGGACTTGGAAAAAGAAAAAAGGTCACCTTGGGCTCATAACCTGTGGTTATGAAATGGGGTGCCCAGCACGTCGGGCTTTTCCGATCCTTGAGCCAAATCAACCAGTAACACCGAGTTGGTGTATGGACCCTCGTAGCGCTTGGCTTTCTACGAAATGGGTCAATGGAAGCATTGTACACTTTTCGATTTGTGCACTCTGTACTTCATGAATCACAATTTCATTTCGTGCACTTCCCAGGGCGCAGAGTGAATGATCTCTTGGGCTTGGAAGTCATCGTTCAGCTGCTTCGCAGAAAGCGTATGTTTTTTGACCGGATTCACCGGGTCACACGAGGCTCGTGAAGCCGAGACACCCCCAAACTAGCTATCATGCCTACCTGTCCCTTGCGATGGTATATGAACATGTATGGACACCAGTGGTGCAAAAATGCATATGGTTGCGGGTAAGGGCACTTGAAAGGTGCCAAAATCATGCATTGGTCTCAGTGGATTTGCTCTTTCGCGCAACGCTTTGGTGCAGTGAACATGTTCGTTGTGATTGACCCACAGTCCATCTTGGAAGGGAGACTCCTTTTTTATGTGTCCGGGTCCTTGATTGTTGTTTCATGTTGTTGCGCTGGTTGAATTGTTCGCAACGCGTGAGAAACTTCATAAAATTTCCATCCAGACTGCAGACTCATCGGTATTATGAACATGCTGATGTTTTTATACTGCGGGCTGAGGCCTCGACATTTACTGAGTGGAAAGGCTGGTCGAAAGTGGGACACCTTCGCAGTGGGACACCTCACCTGCCAGGTGAGGGTCTCGCCATGCTTCACCCCTCAGGGTGGGGATCACTCGAAGTAAAATTTTGAAGGTAGCAACTGGTGAGCCAAGTCGAAAAACAAGTGGAAGAGCCTCCCGAAGTGACATTCCCGAAAACAAACGGGTCAGCCCGTCCTTTTCGCGCTCAGCCATCAGGCGCGTCACGCGCAAGTCACAAGTCCCACCCCTTTGGATGGTCAACCGGTAGCAGCTGCTGAACCGGTGTGTAACATGTGATTTGGCGGGTCATTCACCGTCACGAAACTATAGATTTTCTCTGATTGACATGGCCGAGAGATTGAGGATTCCAAAACTTGTTTGGTGCTGGCTCGGGATGAACAACAGCAACCGCTTTTTTGTTGTCCCCTGGTGAGCTCCGACCTGAATAAAACAAGCAGCTGCGGCAACTTGTTAGAAATCAGGGCATAATATCGGATTTTTGAAGTGGTTCTTCTAAGCTGACTCTGTGGGCTCGTGCAATTGCAGGAGCACTTGTTCAAGCATAAATTTCCATGCAGACCACCAGGACCGTGTGAACAGCCAGCATTTCGAGAGAGCAAGCTACAAGCTCATCATGTTTTTTTGAACATGTGGATCCTATAACCTTTGAACCAAAGGTGGGAGAGATGGGATAGAAACCATTATTAGGCTTCCCAGTTCCCGGGCTGGTTCAAGCACGCTAGAGTCGCACCTGCTTGGTGGCCTGTACATGTGAACGACCGCGACACTCCTGCAGTGCAATGAGAACACGGTCCTTTTTGGATTTGTAAGACAGAATAGCCTTGGAAAGACGCCCTCTGCTTCACAGGATCGACACGTCCCACGGTTATGCCAGCGCCAACGGTGAGTGACAACACGGCACCGCTGTCGTGCGTACGCACGTCGAACGTAGCTCGTTCCTCAGGGCGAGGCCACCGCCTTTGCAGCGGCCTCGGCCATTCTGAAGTATGTCTCGAGCCTTTTGGCTTCCACCGTCTCTCCGCGACGGTCCCGACGTGCGTCGAAACCGGGATGCTTCGAATTGATGTCGTCCCAGGGGTTGAGAATGATGTTAGGTCTGGCGGGGAGTCGAACATGAAAGATCACAGAAATTGAGGACCTGTCCCGCGGTCACCGTGACCGGGTAATGCTCATTGCGCCCCCTTCTCACCAGCATGCTAGACAGAAGCCTTTCGCGAGGCAATCTTTTCAATGGAACAGTAACATTGAACAATATTTGCTGTGAGAGTGTTCAGGGCTTCAGGGCTGCAGTGTTTTTCTTGCTGAGTCAAGCAAGGATAGCGCAAGTACTGATAGACTGCACGCTTCCTGGTGATAAGCTTGTATTTCTACCAGAAAACTAGCACTACCAGCAAGTACACCACTAAATATATAGAGGAGTTTTTCTGCAAGACTCTCTGCGCCACGCCGAGCCGGCAACGATTACGGGCGCAGCTGTGCCATCCAGGTGTGGAGGCGGGTTGGAAGATTGCGCCGAACTCCTTCAAGGACTATGTGAGCAAACCGAAAAAGTCGGGATACCAGGCGCCTAAACCCTTCGCACGGTTGTTTTAAGGGTTTGATCACTTACACACCCAAACTTAAGGTTCCTTGCCGCAACATCAGCTGTGATGTTTATTGCTGTGTCCATTGGCTTGTGTTGCGGTTTCGTGGGGCCGAGGCTTTAAGGCAACATCGTTTGTAAAATCACATGAAAGCCGAGAAGGTGCTCATATCTTCTCGGCTGTTTAGCCATCAAGTAGCCAGTCTACTTGTTTTGTTTCTAGTTACTAGTAGCTTCTTGTTACTAGTAGTAATGGCCACCACCCTAGTAGCGATGACCTCCACCCTAGCACCTTCTTGTTACTAGTAGCTGTGGGACAACCAACTGGAAACACCGCTTGTCACATCAAGTCGAGCTGCTTTTCCGCTGGGGCTGGGCCTTGATGTATTGTGGCACTGAGCCAGCAGCACACCCTAGGTAGGTAACTTTTGATTGAAGGCGATCATAGCTTCATAGTCATTCTATGAGTCGCCTGAAGAGCGCAGTAGAAACTGTGTGGCGTGGGTTATGCAAAGAATCATTTGCCGCAGATGGACAGAAGTGAGGACAAGAGAGGAGAGCGAGACTGTGGCAGGGGCGTGTTTGATTCCAAACTTGTCCAGGAATGCTCTTACATATATATTTATATATATACTTATATAATATAGATCGATATATAGATATATATATATAATTATATATAATACTATATTGTATATTGCCTTTCAGCGCTTTGGGTCACATTCAAGCTACTTACTGCTTTGACTGGGGGCCCGTGAAGGTAGCAATCCCATCCTGCTAATCGTGGTGTGATTTCGATCCTTGGCAGGCCATTCACTTAACCCTGGCGTCTTGGCTGGTCAATTCAATGGGATTGGGGTGCCAGGGTTATACCTTTTGTTTCTGGGTGTGGGGTGGTGTGCGTCAATCGCTCCAAATAAAACATGTTGCCTTTGAGACATCGGGAGGTCATGGGGAGACCAAGATTCCGAGGTGTGGGGGAGTCCACCATGAGAATCGCCTCCTTTCATTCACCGAATTGGCATTGGGTTTGGCTCAGGTGTCATTGGCAGGGTAAACATATGTAAACATCGTAGGACATGACATTCATTGACACCTGCAACTCTCCAGGAGCGCTCATGGCACCTGTTGTTTCCGAGGTCACTGACTTCCAGGCCAACACGCTGAGCGTCCGTCGTTGGGCCCAACAGCGTCGTCCGTCGTCGGTGGACGCCCTGCTGATCCCACTGTGCAAGAAGATAATTGAACAGGGGTTGGACCAATGGCTCAAATGGACCTGTCAGACACGTCTGACATTGAAGACGCGGGCTTTTTCGCTCACCAGAGGCTCATCCGGACAAACCAATCATGACAGCCGGTACAGCCGGTACACCCAACAGAACATGACAAACGAACAGAACACCCAACATCACCGAACAGGCTGTACCAGACGCCTACCTGTAGGTATATAGATGCTGGATGGTGCTGGTGCCAGGGATGTTCTAGATCAGTTAACTCTGTTCCACCCAAATGTGGGCTCTTGGTTACTGGAGCGGAGCTCGAAGAAAACCAAAACGCCTGCATTCCCGAATCCATGGTTACATGGGTGACGTGGGTGACGCATGGTCCCAGAATTTGGGATTGACTTTCCAAAACCAAACACCGCTCCCGTTGCTCCCATCAGTTATCCCTAAGGCCATCAATCCCAAGCGCCTTGTCAACTCGAGCTGCACATCTTCACCACTCAGATGAAGCTCCGGGCGCGGGGAGTGGTGAAAACCGGGTCGGGTGGGAGAGTTTTGGCTGAGATGGGCAGCCACGCATTTGGCGCATGTAAAGAAGTGTAAGACATATAGTTATTAATGGTATATAAACATACTACATCACTATACTGTATACGTCCAGTCCTATTCCTCCGCGACCTCATGGCCTGTTGCAAGATGAGATGTTGCCAACACTTCCCGCATCCATTGCTCGTTTGCCCATTGTTTGCCCACGTGCCGCTGAAGCGGTACCAGTCAGTCGCATCGCTGGGTACCTAGCCGCGCGAAGCCTCTCGTGTGCCAGGAGCGGCAGGGTCCCGCCAGTCACGCCACTTACAAGTCCTTTCCGCTGTGCCCAGAAGATCTCATGGAGAAGCTGGGCAATGAAGGCGTGGGAATCATGGAACGTCCTCCCCAGCTTTGGAGAGAAGAAATTAACCTCATCTTGCTGACAGCCCTGCCTTGGAGACAAAGAGGCTTCCTCCCCAACTGGCCACTTCTTTTTGCTTGCTTTGTCATTTTTGTGAAATTGATTTGTGGAGCATCGCATGCCCTCAATCAAACAGCATTCTTTGCAGGTGTGGTCTCCATTTCTGAAGTTGCGACTTGGTAGGCAACATCTTGCAACCAAGAAGTTGGTTGCAAAAACAAGGTCCCTGGAGAAGTTGTTCTCTGGCCCTGACAGCAGCCGCCGTGGTCTTTGGAAGACCTGCCGGCCAATGGCAAATGATGGCAAATGGTTGAATGCCATCTATCATGGGTAAGCCACTCACGCCGAACAAATATTTGCAAACATGTCGAATCAGAGGGTGAAGTTAGGACTCTCTAGGGCCGCTAGGGCTCGATCTTGGATCGGCTGCAGAACGGCCATGCGGCCCATACGGCCAACAATGTGACAATGGGATCACGAAGAGTATTTAGTGTGAGGATAGCTGATGCTACCCAAAAGGCATGGTTTTTGGTGCGCTTCAGCATCATGTTCCCGGTCAATCCCTGGTGAGTACCCACCTGGGAATTTTTGTGGCAAGACGCAAACTTGCAGAGGTGAACAGTCTAACCAGGTGTGTTCAAGGGGCTCCATTTTTGGTCATGACATGGCATAACCAACATCACTTTGCATCCCACGGAGTGAGATGCGCATGACAGCTGGAAGGCCGCCGCTGCTGAGGCACACCACGACTTTGATGCGGATGCCTCTCAGAAGTTAGAGGAGATGTTAATGAGTTGATCATTACATCAAGATATACATGGTGCACATTGGCGGCCTTTTTTCTTGCCCCATTCCCAGCACTGCACGGTGGGTGAAGTGCACAGCATGGTTTGTGAATTGTGACAGCCCCCATGATCTGTTGGAATCCCCCGTGCCCGACAAGGTTCGACCGCAAGTGAGGCCACACTGTCAGAGTTCCTGGGGGGAGAGTATTGGAGAGCTGCACTTCAGTACCATGGCCACGCCTGTGGCCACATCTCCATGCAGAGGGAAGGGAGATTTTTGTCATGGAAATTCCAAGTTCGAGGCCTTCATTGGTGGGTCGGTTACTTTGGACCACTTAAGAGCCGTCCGAGATGCGTCTCACGCGATCCTAATTGAGATCCTCCATGAGACTCGATTCCGTGTTGGCAGGTTGGATTGAATCCAGTCTTGAATCCACACGGGGCGACAACGACCCAGACGTTTTGGGCTCCGACCCCGGTTCGGCGCAGCCGGGTCCGCCAGGAGTTGGCCCAGCGAGCTGGCTACCAAGACATGGACATTGAAGACTTGAGACTGAGCCGAGCCCACGTGAACAAGGCCCGTCCCTGCTTGTTGGTGCTTGTACGTCCCGCGGTCCCCTTTTTCGAAGGGTTTTGGGAGGTTGACTTCGGAGGATTTTTCGAGCTTCCAAGCAGGGTGCTGGAATTTGGGACGAATCGTTGATGATTAGAAGACTTTCCACCTTGTACGATGCCTTCCCTGAAAGGAGGCCCTCTCCTACAGAAATATCAAACACTCGATCCATAATTCCTGATCTTGTACCCCGCCCTTTCCTATCCTTTCCTGACCTTGCCATTTCTTACTCATCTATATACATCCTTCCCCCAGTCACTTGGATGGCGCCCTTCCGCGGCCCAGGTGGTGTCCGCCTTCCAGGAGCTCATGGCCGCCGAGACCACCTCGACGCTCCCGCTCGGCGACGAGACGGACGCCGCGAGCTTGCCGGACGGCGCGGAGGGCAAAAAAGGGAGGCGAAGGAAGCCGTGCCGTGGGAGACCGCGGGGTTTGGCTTCTTTGGGGGTTGAGAGGGAGGAAGGAGGAATCTTTTGATGCTGCGTGAGCAAATTGTGACAGAATCGACTAGTGACAAGAACTTAAATGAGTTTGTTGCAGCTTTTGGACATGGCTGTTGCATGGTTTGGAGGGACTTTCTGGAGGCGAGTTGGTCCAAAGTTGAGCACAAGCGCAGCTGAAGGGGCAAGGTCGTGTTTCGGAGCAGTTTTAGACGTGTCAAAGATCAAGCAGTTGTGCATGAGAACCTCGAGACTATTTCCTTGCACGCCTGCAGGTTGTGGGATGTTTTTGGGCCATGTTCAAGGTCATGTGCCATATATTGATGACGTGCATTTCACCATGTGTTCAGCTTCCTCCCAGCTTCTGCTGCGCGGGGCTCAGCAATTTTGGGTTCAAGCCTCCACCCTCCACCCTTCCCGCGATGGCGGGACCGTGCCCACCGCGACCTCGCGCGGCTCGCCGTGTGGCGCGGCTGCTGCCAGTGCTTGTCTTGGGGTTTGCGAGTCACTGGGTCGAAACAGAGTGGGGGGTGGTGTCACTGCCTGACACAAGCGGTCATGTCTCGGAAGTTCGCGCATGTGTATGTGTACGGTGCTGTTGCTTTCGCATGCTTATTAACAGCCATTGCTGTTGCCTTCGCGGTTTTGTTTGTTCGCACCAGGACTCGGACGTAGCGTTTGAGGCCTTCGGCTGGAGGGTCATAAGTCCTGCATTGGGTGGAGATACCCTAAACCCTAAACCCTAAACACCAATATGTCAGCTATCCGGTGGTGACGGTTTTCATGTCACCACCGGATCGGTGGACCGGTCCCTGGCCGCCCTAACCGTGACAGAACGACCTGGGCCCCGCTCTTGGCGGTTTGAGGTTTCTATCCAGGAAGTTCCGAAGCACACCATGAATGTGAAGGGAAGTCACTGATGCGAGTCCCGAAACCCAATTGTTGAGTCTGAGATTTGGCCGTGCCATGCCGGGCCTCAATGCCTGCCTCAACGACCTGTCGGACATGGTAGATGACATGTTCGACAGAAAACCAGTTGATAGGCTATGTCGGGGCCGTTCTGAAGGCCACGACGTGGATGGTCCGACGGGTCAGTTTTCCTTCAAAACAACGCCGATGTCCGCCTTGTCCAGGTTACCTCCTGGGCCCACTTAGCTTCGTGCATCTCTCTGTGAGCAGATCGACCGTAGCGCCAGGCCCAGCAAACCGGGAGGGGCATGGTGTTTCCATCATAGCTTCTCCAAATACTTGGATGTATACGTTGCAGATATTTGCCGTGAATATGGTAAATGGAAGTTTCTTATTTTTTTTGGTGTGTGTGTGTATACATGTATGCCTGCCTGTTCCATGCTCCGGCCTAGACACTTTCTTCAACAACACAGCTGGAACTTAACTTACTGTAACCTGGAATGGCAAGAGAGGTCTTGAAACTCATGGAAGATATGCTCCAACACCCAAGTTAAGTTGGCTAAGACATCAGAGTGAGTGCGCCATGTGACCGACACTGGCGGTGGTCCGAGGACGCAGAACCAGCCTGATCCGGAGAGCACGTGGCGGCGAAGGGGATGCCCTAGCGGTGGGGGACACTTGGCCGTTTCGCTTAAGGCGCTTGAATTATATGGCGCGTGAAACAGGCCTGGTCTGCGTTTCCAACCTAAGACTAAGGAATGCTAAGGATCCTGAAGAGTCCTGGACCCATCACAGACCATATCAAGCCTTTGATTCAACCCGACCATATACTGACTAGGAACTCTATGTTTTTGGGTCTATAGATATGGACGAGGCATCCTCGTCAGGGATTCAGATGGATCAAGGCAACAAAGGTCCAGTGCCACATGCTGCATTTCCCTCCTTTCCGCTCCAGGACACTGTCAGTGCACTTTGCCCTGACGATAGTCAATGGTACCCGGGTGCCATCGAGAAGATCAATGACGATGGCACCTTTAGCGTGAAGTGGGATGATCCCGATGGTGGCCCAGAGACCCACGACATCGAAGTGGCAGGTGTCGACCCGCGCGGAAGACCGGGGACGGTGAGTCGGCGACCTTGGCCGTTCTGTAGGATGGGGGCCGTGCTGTTTGCGGCCCGCTTGGAGGCGGGTGTCATGGGGTAGAGCCATAAGACTGTACGTATTGTAAGTACATGTAAGTACCATGAGTGAACAATGACGATGAGTCACTAACAATGGCACAAGGTGGTACATAAAATGTATACTTACGGCAGTTGTATTGTATATAAGTTGTTTGTTGACCCGTTTTTTTGGTAGCACTTGTTATTGTGAGGATTCATCGGGCGGCAGGACATGGGGCCCCTGGTCTGTGAAGGTGGCATGAAACTGAGCAATCACGGCCAACACATCACTATCAAACAGCTGTCTTGGACGCTATGTCACTACACTACACTAGACCTAGTGCTAGACCTACATTGAATGTGTACTATATGGCATTTGGAAGGCAAGCGCCAGCCAAATCCAGAGAATCAACATCAACAGTCTTTCGATCTTTTGGATCGAACATTTTGGGCTGACATACAGAAGGCCACACATCATGACCCTTGGTATAGCGCTGCCAGACATTCAGAAGATCGTCATCTTCAAAGACTACAAGGTCGGGCCCCACTGTTGTCGTGCTTGGAACTTCCACCACGATTGCAGTGCCGAACAGGTCCAACATTTGTATAGTTGGGGTGAGGCCAGGTCACAAGGTCATGTCTTGCATTTAGTGGCTTCAAATCTGAGACCAGAACCCAGCAAGTCATTCCTTGGATAACATGTGATACTGGTTTCCAAGCATGTTGGAAGAATGACGTGTTTTTTCCATCTGGGGATACTGTAGGTCCACTAGGTCCGGTCCTTACCGACCGCGAGCGGTCCGGTCATGCGATCCTCCCAGGTCGGTGAAAGAGTGGAAGCGATCTTCCCAGATGATGGCTATTGGTATCCAGCGGACCGGGAAGAGGGTCGGAGTCCGGCGAACACGGGAAGAGTCCGGCATATGATTCTCTTTAGGTTGGAGGCCAAGGCATTTAGGTTGGAGGCGGCCAACGCATTTAGGTTGGAGGCGGCCAA